CTTTTTGTGTTTTTATAATAAACAATTCCCCAGGTCAAACCACTAAAGACAGCTTTCAAATTTAATTTGATTATCTCTTGTTTTAATTCAAACTTGTTCAACATTTATTTTTATTTGCTGTCGCTGCAGTAAGTTTTAGTATTCCCTGTAAAAATAAGGAAGAGATTGTTAGTGGTTTTGATTATCGAAGTGAAACAATTCTGAGTTTCAACATAAAATCAATTATGTAGAAGAAAAAAACAAGACAAAATAAAACAAAACAAAAAAAAAAAAAATCACTGGTGATTTAAAGTCACGAGCAACATTTCTCCTGTTAAATGGTTCATAATTGCAAAGACAATCTGCAATGCCTGTTTGTGTCTGGGCTGCAGACAGAAAGCAGCAAATAACTGAGCCAAAAGAAAGCTGCAGTGTTAAATTGGGCCCAGCTGACATCAGTGATGCAACAGAATTATTTAGCCACTTTGCTTTGCTAGCAGTGGGCGGCTAAATTGGCTCAATTTAGTGAAGAAGACTAGCTCTTCATAACAAAACAACATCGTTTGGAATCACCAGTCTTCAGACTCAAGTGCTATCAACGTAAACAAGACTATAGATTTTTAGCTTCTTTGGCCCACAGTGTAAGGTTTAACAACCTAGAAACCTGTACTAGGCTTCAAAAGCAGGCTGCATATATAATTCAGGGGGCAATGTACTTTCACTAAGGGGCAGCTGTGGCTAAGTGGTTAGAGCAATCCCACCAGCAGTTACATGCTGTAGTGTCCCTGGGCAAGACACTGAACCCCTCTTTGTCTCTGATGTGTGCCCCATCAGTGTATGAATGTGATAAAACACTGATTATTCTTTGTACAGAAATAGTAGAGTGCTGAATGAATGGGTGAATGAGGACACAGATAGTGTTGTAAAGTACTTTAAGTATCTTGATAAAACAGGCGGACACTATGTAAGTACAGTCCATTACTTTTATTGTACATATTTATTGCACACTACCTAAGGTAAAAGGGCAATCATGTTTTTGTCCATGTCTCAGTGTGTGTGTGTGTGTGTGTGTGTGTGTGTGTTTGTCTGTTAGCAGAATTTATCTTGAATAGGTCAAATGATTTTTATGAAGGTTTCAGAAAGTAATACTTTAATATACAGCTACAACTAACAGATTTACTTTGGACTTACCGGTAATTCAAACCAGACACCTTAGTAAAGTGGAGCAAATACAAATGACTATAATGGACCTGCATATAGAGAGTGGTGGCACAGAGGTTAAAGAAGGTGGGCCTGTGATTGCAAGGTTGTCGGGTCGACTCCCCAGACTGGCAACATCAAAATGTGGGTGGAAATGGTGACACACCCTCACCTGCCTTCACCCTTATTTGACTCACTCTGGCCCCTTGATCAAGGCCCTTAACCCCCACCATCTGCTCACAAAACAGGTTTCTCTTGAAAATGAGTTCTCGTGACTCAATGAGGCTACCTGTATAAATAAAGGTTAAATAAAATTAAATTAAATAACTCAGCCAAGTTTATGGATATTGAACTAAATTGTAGTGTGGTAGAAAATGAACGTCAGTACCAAAACATAAGCTGAGCACTAATTTATTGCACAAGACTGGTGGAGTCAATGCTGTCTACCTGCTAGAACATCAATAACAAAACAAAAAAATTATAATAATCACAAACCACTTGACAGTTTTTCATAACACTTAGAAAGTTATCATTGCGTGTATATCTACAGTCAGGTTTCATCACAATTTAAGATGGCCGTCACGTCTAACAAACATTAGAAAACAAAAATTATATGCTTATAGTCAGTTTTTTCAGATTATTGGCTAAAATTTGGTGTATAAATAGGTGAACATCATCCCCAACACACACTCCTTGCACTACATGTAGAACAATATTTTTTGCTTTAAACTATTATTTGGGGTCAAACATGTTTTTTTAGCAAAATATTTAATTGATCTCCAGATAGATTTTATTGAAACTTTCACAAAGTATTATTTGGATGACTTCTTAACAACTGATTAACTTTTCGAGTCTGTCCAACTCAGTACAGCTAAACAAAAGTAACAAAAATAATTCTAACGTAGTCAGTTTTACCTATATTAAGGTAAAGACCACAGGAACACAAGTGTAAGTTGATGCATATACTTTTAGCACTACACACTGAGTAACATCATTGCTTTAAATATTTGCATTAACTTTGTGCAATGTAGTTTGCAGAAATGGCAAATAAAGAACGGTGTACCTTCTGTACCTTTATAACTGTAAGAGTCAACCTGGTTTGTTGTTGGTCTGTTAGAAAAAAAAAAAGTCACAAACTTCACTAATCATTAAATGTGCAACTACAACTTGGAGCCATCCCAATTAATTTTTGTGTTGGCTAATCAACCCGAACCAACACAAAAATACCCATAACTTAGGGGATGTCAAAGTGTCTGTAACACATTCTACACATACCACAAGTGGAATAAAAACATCTTAATAGTTAAGAATTTGGGCATTTTTCAACTTAATTTGACTCATTTTGTCACACAACTGGCATCTTTTTTAACTTGATGTGGCCAAAGTGAAACATGAAGTGACATCAAAGAGGGACTCTTTTAAAAAGTGCTCTTCCTAGTCTGTTTATTGAAACTATATTTGAACTCTGACTCTTCATCTTTCTATAATATTGGCTCCAAATTAACAAAAGAAACATCACATTCTTACACTGCCTGTGTTGTTAGCCATTGAATGCCAATGATGTGTTTACATGCTGACATTCCCCTTTGGCATCACTTCCTGTTACTGTGCATGCCAGTACAGTAGTCCCTCGCTACTTTGCGGTTTGTTATTTGCGGACTCGCTCTATCAAAATAAAATTGGACATGACACACCATTGGCTGATTGATGGATGGGCCGCATGATGGGCATATAATTTTTATTTAAAATCAAATATTTTAAAACTATTTAGCACCTCCTGCAGCCAGTGTGCAGCCCGCAGCTCTGGAGCTCCCCCTTGCAGCTGATCAGCTGATCTCCGCTTTGCCACGGAGAAGGCTTCAGGGTACGGATCACCTGTGATAAATGAGAGACTACTGTATCTCAAAAACTGTTTCTCTCTTTTTTTTTGTTCTTTTTTTTCCCAAATTCATTATGAATGTTATTTAAAAAAATGCACTAATATTTATTGCAAACATTTGATGTCACGGGCACTTGAAAGACACTGAGCTGAATTTTGTTATATTAGTAGCTGAGTCTCATCCTTAATACATACATGTCAAAAGACAAGTACAGTATGCAATTGCAGCATGTAGTACTTACTGCAGTCATGCAGCAATACTGCACAACTGCTCAAAAAGTCATTCATGGTGTTTCAACAAAATCAATATAACTCTGCCATTTGCCATTAGACGATAATCTTAATTTAAACCTCTGGCGTTAAAGGTCATTGTCAATTACCAGTCCTCCAAGGAATGCTAGGCCTTTAATTTAAAGTTAGAATTGTAGTGAAAATGTGTTCTGAATTTGAACCATCACAACAAGTTGGTAAATAACCAAACCTAATAATAAAAAATAATAAAAAAAAGATTTACAAGGTCCATAAAGTTCATTTTTGAATTATGAAAAACAAGTGCAAAATAAGCAGTTAATATATTGGATATACAGTATCTTAGTGCTACTCAGCTTTCTGTTAATGTGGCTCTGCAGTATTTCCACCCTCCCAGTGTTCACTAACCATAGTACAGTAACTCCACAACTGGTAAACAACAAACTCCATGTTGCAGTGCCAGCTCTTTCTAAAACTAATCAACAGTTTGCAACTTCAGGTTCATGCACAAGTAGTCTTTTAACAACTGCAGTACAAGATCATTAACTTGCACTTCCAATCTGTTGAACAGAAATAATAATAATAATAATGTCATCACAATGTCAGCACTGTATGTTTCCATACAATGGCGAAATTAGTCTCTGCATTTAACCCATCCACCACCAGGTGGTGCAGTGGGCAGCTATTGAAAGCGCCCGGGGGACATTTTGGGGATTAGACGTGCTGCCCAGAGACGCCACGTGATGTGCAGTGACTGGGGATCGAACCTGGGACTCTCGGGTCCCAAGCCGGCTGCCCTGCCTCTACACCATCTCGGCCCCTTAAATCTCATTGCCTCAAACATTAGTTTTATTTTCCAAAAACCCAATGTACTTTTTTTTTTTCATCGTGTCATTTTTTTTTTTTTCCTTTTTAAAGGGGTAAGTTATTCTGAAATTGAATATTTTACAATCTGTGTCTATGTGGAATGCCGAGGAGTTGGCTAATTGTTAGATACACAACAAAATTGCAGAGATGGGTACTTCAGAGCACTGTAGTAATCCAAGTTGTCATGAAACGGTGTTGGAGAGAAGCTGGGCTTAAATTTATTCTTAAATATCAATATCAATGTCAAGGTCAAGGTTTCTTTATTGTCATTCTCATCATATGTGGTGCATGTGATGGAACGACATCGTGTACACAGGGTCCCAGTTACATCCAACAAAAGTATAAAAT